TTAATTTAAATCGGCTTTCTGCCGCCGCGCTGTTTTAAAGCACCCTTCTGTCGCCGCGCTGTTGTCACGGCGGTGATGACGCGCGGTGATGACGGCGCGGCTTTAGCAACGCAGTTTTATCACCGCTATTTTGACAAGCGCGGTTTTGTCGTGCCACGCTTTTGTTAGGCTAACTCTAAACAGATTATATCATTCCTCGCTTTTTCAGTCATAAACTATCTGGAATTTCTTAGTCCTGTATTTATTTTGGATAGAGTCAATCCATCTTCTCCACTCCAGTTTATATTTCTCATTTGAGTGGTCCTTGAGATATGCTGGTATTTTAGCCATTTCTGCTAAGTTTGTTACTTTTAATATCCATTCTTGAGTAGTAGGCAAATCTTCCTTCTTCCAGTATTGCGCCACCAACAGTCTTGCTGCCGTTATTAAGTACAAAATCAAGTTAGTCTCTATAACAGTACAATCTTAATGTAGCAGAAGGGTGGCAGGGAGGAAACGATCCAATGCTCACGATGTCATCTTCTTTAACTCTAATGAATTAATTTGGGTTTTAATTACATGTAGGTTTCCATTAAATCAAATTTTGTTTCTGTCTTGGCTCCATCCACTTGAAGGAGCTGGGGCCTAAGCGCACCTTTCAAAACACCTTGGAAGCGGGGTGGGGGGGGGGAGAGAGAATAACACCAATCTGTCAGAATTGTAGTTTAACTGGGTTTTCCCCAAAAAGTGGAATTGGCAAAATATGAATCTCTTAGGAGCCACTCCATGGAGAGCAACTGTTGAAGGAAGAACTGATCAGAAACGATGGGTAATCCCAATGCTCATTGCAAGATCTTCTCTGCTTTATCGCCGAACAAGAGAGATCATGTTTTACACAGTAAGATCTCCAGTGTTTTCTCTCTCTCTCGCTCTCTTTGTGTATCTCTTTTTTGTTTTAAAGGGATTTCTCAGACACCAAGGTTGGAAAAAGCCTGTCTGATATCTCAGCAACCTGTTGTCAATCAAGGAGAGCTGCGAGACTCCAAGGTTTCCCGTTTACACACTCTCTTGCCTCAAAGCATAACAAAGTGCCTTGTTTCATGTACCTACCAATGTTCAAATTGCTGCAAACAGGTTTTCCAAACGCACGGTTTTCTTTATTTTATTTTTCTTCCTTTTTCCTTCCTCAAAGGAAGGCCACCCAAGTGACAAATCAAAAATTAGAGGACGCCAATCCGGTTTGCCCAAGCTGATATTAACTTGCCACGCAAGTCGGCGATGTTGAACATTCAAATCAAGGATTGCTGACAAGTAGCTCCCACTTTCCCTGCGCCTTTTGCAGCAGGCCTGTTCTCTCTCGTCATTCCTAAGGGCTAGGAACTTAACTCCCTCCCTCTTTTTGTTTACTTTCATCCCTCGTATCAGAATGGCATTAATGAGCTGCACGGGGAAACAAAGCATCCATTATCCTCCGTACCTGAAGAAACAATTTCCATCAAAATATTAGGCAGTCTGCATAATGCAGGACTTCTTAGCTTATTTTCATTAAAAATGGAACAGAATAATTGTGGGTCAAATTTTATCAATGGCGGGATGCAGAGATGATTAAAAATGTAAATGGGACTGGCCTTTCTTTTCATCTCTGGCTTCGCACCCTTCACATCTAGGACAATTCCACACTAGATGAGGATTATGGGGCACAAGTGGAAGCAAGTAGGGATGCCGCATTTATGCTGCCTATCAAAGTTATAATGCCAACTAGAAAACACAGCAGGCGCCCAGCTAGGTAACCTGAGAGTTTTCGCCCATCCTGAAATCCTGCATTCTCCAAAGGCACCTGCAGCCTTCTGGGATTCACTAAAAGCATTCCAACAGTAGGCTCAATCATAGTTATTTCTTTGGCTTGGGCTAGTGCATTGTGGGAACCCAAGCTATGTGGTCTGTTAGTTATGGGCCACGGTGAGCCTAACCAGTCAATCAGGGGCATCCATGAATAAAGCTGTAGATGGTGTAGGAAGTTAGCACCCATCCTTCCCCAGGATAAATGATATTTTTTTTTAGGAAATATTAAAAGGGCAGAATATTTCCCCTAAAAGGGAGGCAGAAACTCGCACATCCCCATCTTTGTCAATGGGCCATTAAGGCCTGAGCCAGTCTATCTACATAACAAAGATCTACCTCCTTCAGGCAGAGCCATAATAGGAATCCCACACCCCTTTCATTACATCATTACCCAGCAAGAGTCAACCAAGCTTGGGACTAAGGACAGCCTACAGCATGACCCCTGATAACCAATTAGAATACAAGCTCAATTCAAAGCCCAACAGAGAGTTTAAATTTCTCTCCCTCCCTCCCTCCCTCCCTCCC